TCTGGAACTCCCTGCCCCAACCCATCAGATTATCACCTACTCTCCTCTCCTTTAGGCGCACCCTGAAAACCCCATCTCTTCAGGGAAGCCTACCCCACCCCCTGCTAACTTGACCAACCTCCTCCACTCTTCCTACCACTCCATCCCCCACAGCTATCTCCTCCTGTGCCACCATCCCCTCCCTCCTAGATTGTAAGCTTGAAAGAGCAGGGCCCTCGATCCCCTCATGTTTTGCATTGTATTGGTATTGTTCTGTCACATGTTCTGTCCCCCTTTGTAATGTACAGCGCTGAGCGAAATATTGGCGCTTTATAAATACTGTATAATAATAATAAGGGGGGGGGCACGCTGATGGGGATGTCTGACCTAAAGGGGGCACACTGATGGGGATGTCTGACCTAAAGGGGGCACGCTGATGGGGACGCCTGACCTAAGGGGGGGGGGGCACGCTGATGGGGACGTCTGACCTGGGGGGCACTCTGATGGGGACGTCTGACCTAAGGGAGGCACTCTGATGGGGACGTCTGACCTAAGGGAGGCACTCTGATGGGGACGTCTGACCTAAGGGAGGCACTCTGATGGGGACGTCTGACCTAAGAGGGGGGCTGATGGGGACGTCTGACTAAGAGGGGGGCACGCTGATGGGGACGTCTGACCTAAGAGGGGGGGGCACGCTGATGGGGACGTCTGACCTAAGAGGGGGGCACGCTGATGGGGACGCTGTCTGACCTAAGAGGGGGGCACGCTGATGGGGACGTCTGACCTAAGAGGGGGGCACGCTGATGGGGACGTCTGACCTAAGAGGGGGGCACGCTGATGGGGACGTCTGACCTAAGAGGGGGGGCACGCTGATGGGGACGTCTGACCTAAGAGGGGGGCACGCTGATGGGGACGTCTGACCTAAGAGGGGGGCACGCTGATGGGGACGTCTGACCTAAGAGGGGGGCACGCTGATGGGGACGTCTGACCTAAGGGGGGTACGCTGATGGGGACGTCTAACCTAAGGGGGGCACGCTGATGGGGACGTCTAACCTAAGGGGGGCCCGCTGATGGGGACGTCTAACCTAAGGGGGGCCCGCTGATGGGGACGTCTGACCTAAGGGGGGGGGCACGCTGATGGGGACGTCTGACCTAATGGGGGGGGGCACGCTGATGGGGACGTCTGACCTAAGGGGGACACGCTGATGGGGACGTCTGACCTAAGGGGGACACGCTGATGGGGACGTCTGGCCTAAGGGGGCGCTCTGAAGGGGACGTTTGAACTAAGGGGGCCGCTCTGAAGGGGACATGTAACTAAGGGGGCACGCTAATGGGGATGTCTGACCTAAGGGGGGCCACGCTGATGGGGATGTCTGACCTAAAGGGGGCACGCTAATAGGGACGTCTGACCTAAGGGGGGGTGCACGCTGATGGGGACGTCTGACCTAAGGGGGCACGCTGATGGGGACGTCTGACCTAAGGGGGCTCGCTGATGGGGACGTCTGACCTAAGGGGGGCACGCTGACGTCTGATCTAAGGGGGGGGGGGCGCGCTGATGGGGACGTCTGACCTAAGGGGAGCGCGCTGATGGGGACGTCTGACCTAAGGGGGGGGGGGGGGCACGTTGATTGAGACGTCTGACCTAAGGGGGGTACTCTGAAGGGGACGTCTAACCTAAGGGGGGCACGCTAATGGGGATGTCTGACCTAAGGGGGGGGGGCACGCTGATGGGGATGTCTGACCTAAAGGGGGCACGCTGATGGGGATGTCTGACCTAAAGGGGGCACGCTGATGGGGATGTCTGACCTAAAGGGGGCACGCTAATGGGGACGTCTGACCTAAAGGGGGCACGCTAATGGGGACGTCTGACCTAAGGGGGGGGGGGGGGCACGCTGATGGGGACGTCTGACCTAAGGGCGCACGCTGACGTCTGACCTAAGGGAGGCACTCTGATGGGGACGTCTGACCTAAGGGAGGCACTCTGATGGGGACGTCTGACCTAAGGGAGGCACTCTGATGGGGACGTCTGACCTAAGGGGGCACGCTGACGTCTGACCTAAGGGGGCACGCTGATGGGGACGTCTGACCTAAGGGGGGCACTCTGATGGGGACGTCTGACCTAAGGGGGGGGCACACTGATGGGGACGTCTGACCTAAGGGGGGTACGCTGATGGGGACGTCTGACTTAATGGGGGGAGGGGGGGGCACGCTGATGGGGACGTCTGACCTAAGGGGGGCACGCTGACGTCTGACCTAAGGGGGGCACGCTGATGGGGACGTCTGGCCTAAGGGGGGGGGGCACGCTGATGGGGACGTCTGACCTAAGGGGGGTACGCTGATGGGGACGTCTGACCTAATGGGGGGGCACGCTGATGGGGACGTCTGACCTAAGGGGGGCCTGCTGATGGGGACGTCTGACCTAAGGGGGGGGGGGGGGCACGCTGATGGGGATGTCTGACCTAAGGGAGGGGGGGGCACGCTGATGGGGACGGCTGACCTAAGGGGGGCACGCTGACGTCTGACCTAAGGGGGACACGCTGATGGGGACGTCTGGCCTAAGGGGGGGGGGGCACGCTGATGGGGACGTCTGCCCTAAGGGGGGGTGCACGCTGATGGGGACGTCTGACCTAAGGGGGCACGCTGATGGGGACGTCTGACCTAAGGGGGCTCGCTGATGGGGACGTCTGACCTAAGGGGGGCACGCTGACGTCTGATCTAAGGGGGGGGGGGGCGCGCTGATGGGGACGTCTGACCTAAGGGGAGCGCGCTGATGGGGACGTCTGACCTAAGGGGAGCGCGCTGATGGGGACGTCTGACCTAAGGGGAGCGCGCTGATGGGGACGTCTGACCTAAGGGGGGGGGGGGCACACGTTGATTGAGACGTCTGACCTAAGGGGGGTACTCTGAAGGGGACGTCTAACCTAAGGGGGGCACGCTAATGGGGATGTCTGACCTAAGGGGGG